TGCTTCCCATTTCCTGCACTTGGGCTTTGTCTTCCTTATGGGACATGCAAAGTCTCTAAGGATCACACCTGAATGTCCCAGTTACCTACCCACCCCGCTTCTTTCCATGTAGCCCTAAAGGATAAAGGAAAAACAAAACCTCAGATCCCTGAAATACAACCCACTAGAAAGGGACAGTTTCAGAAGTAGTATGGGAGGAAGGGATATTACCAGGGCTCACTTGGAAAATGAGAGGAATTTTCAGGCTTTTAAGAGGGTGTTATTCTGAAAATAACAGAAACTTATCCATGTAGACTAACAGCCTAGGAGTCCAGATTCTGGGGAGTGGCCGTCTGGACCTTATTAAGCACCTCTTCAAGACAAAGGAGTATTGGTAGGAAGAATATTGGTAGAAGGTATGAGAAGAGGGCACTACCATTCAATGGTATCCAAAAGCGATGGTCGTCTTCCCTAGAAAAATGTTAATCACCAAGCTATCAGCTAGGAAAAGATACGTTGTGGTTCTGATATAGGTAAGTGATAATTATTAGACATGATAATTATTAGACATAACCCTAACCCTATTAGATAATTATTAGACATACAATTATGAATATATCTTCCATGGTACAACAAGAAGACCCTTGCATTATGTAGAAAAATGTTGTAAATTCTCTCTCAAGTATTTTCTAGGTGAATTAATTGTAAAGATACCTTACACATTCACTCTATAAATGTTATAAAATTATTCCCAAACTGCCATCTCAATGATTTCTGTTGTTTTCAAGAAAATGTTGGTAGAGGTAGGGAAGACTAATAGGAAAACAAGGAATAGGACTTTTTAAAATTGTGTTCATCTTTTATAAAGTCTGAAAATCTGTGAAAGAGGTAAAATATATAGGAAGTTAAGGTGAAATAGTAAAATATGAAATCTCAGAAACATCCTATTGGATATATTAGATGGAATGTTAGCTAGGGAAATGCAAATAGTTTTCCATATTAATCTACTACCATTATCAAGTGCTCAAAATACGATAAATATTTTAGACATGTCTTATAATAAAAATATGTAAGATGATGAGCTTTTACGGGTCTAAACAATTCAAGTTTCAAATGTGAGAAATGATGAGGCACTGAAATATTAATTAAATACTACTCACAATGGAAGCCCAAACTTAAAATAGTGAAAAGTAGAGAAGGAAAAAAATCACAAGCTATAATCCTGTCCTCTGTGACAGGTCACTATTCATGTGCCATTCTATTAATTAAAATAGAGCTTTGTGAAGATTACAACTGTTACAAGAAGGATGATAATGCTCTTCATAATGTTTCTAGGAAAAGAATCTGGGCACTATTAAATCTCTTACTAGATGCCAATGAGCCAAAGACCTCCCTACTTCTCACACTCACGTCAACTCTTGAGCTTGATTTCGTCTTGCGCTTCCTTCCTTTTGTTTTCTTCTCTTCATCTGTTGTGGTTTTTCCCTGATCTGACAGCTCAGCTGATTTCCGCTCTGGTTCCTGAGAGATGGGAGATGTGGGCTCCTCCTCTTCCTCCTCGGGAGGCAGGGGCAGCGGTTCGAGGTAGTAACTTCGGGGCTTGGGCATGGGGTGTGTGTGATACAACAGCAGGTGATGCTGCTCCTCGTACTTGATCACCTTTCGGTCCACTCGGACAGTCCCGAACCAGGCCCAAGACAGAGGAGCTGGGTTCTTCTGACCCTCAAACAAATCCCATGGGGACACCTTCTGCTTTGTAGACACCTGAAGACCCTGTAGTGAAATAATGCTCTGTGAACACACGTTCAGATCTTTCCCTGACCGAGAGCCCAAGCTTGCTTAGGACAAGGATACACAGAATATTCTGGCTGGCTGCATGCCTTAGAGAACCCTAGCATACAGCACATGGGGAAACACATTGATTCAGGGTTACAAGGCTACATCACTGGAAAGCTGCAGCTAGAATTCAGACCTTTAAAGTCAGTTCTGTGGTTCTTTATACATGTGATGCTCAACACCACGTGGTTGAGTATATATTACTGCAAATTGGTATTTTTCGGTGTACCTGGTGGCTCAGTCAGTTGAGCATCTAACTTGACTTCAGCTCAGGTCATGATTTCCCGGTTCGTGAGTTCACGAGATTTTTTGGATTCTCTCTCCATTTCTTCTCTCTCTCTGCCCCTCCCCCACTCACACGCATGCGCTCTCTCTCAAAAATAAACTTAATATGAATGAATGAATGAATGAATGAATGAATAAATAAATAAAATGGTGCTTTTCATTTAGTATTTTTTGCTGCTGTTGTTTTTCAGGAAAAAATATTTTCTAAAAAATACTGCAATATTGATCTTACTGTATTGAATTATAATCAGTTACAACCATTTGCAATTTATTTTGTTGTTTTTAAGATAAAGCAAAACTTGGGGCGCCTGGGTGGCGCAGTCGATTAAGCATCCGACTTCAGCCAGGTCACGATCTCACGGTCGGTGAGTTCGAGCCCCGCGTCAGGCTCTGGGCTGATGGCTCAGAGCCTGGAGCCTGTTTCTGATTCTGTGTCTCCCTCTCTCTCTGCCCCTCCCCCGTTCATGCTCTGTCTCTCTCTGTCCCAAAAATAAATAAAAAACGTTGAAAAAAAAATTAAAAAAAAAAAAAAAGATAAAGCAAAACTTGAGAGTCAAGTTATTGTCAACCTCTACTTGGGCTCAAATTTACCTCAATCCAAACATGTATGGACTTGATTCAATACAGGAATCTTCCATGTACTTAATAAGCCAGTTTCTGAATAGTTAGGGAATATTCTTACAGACATAACTTGTGACAACAGGTACAAATAAAGTCCCTTCAATACAAGATTACCTCTAATGAGTTAACAAGAGGAGATGTTACTATGCTTCTGAAAACAAAGGTTTCTTATTTTTAACATTAATCGGTGATGTCTCTTGTACTTTCCCTGGGATACCAACTTGAAAATATTTTTTCTCAGAATAACCACAAAAATAACTACTCAGGCATTCCACAAGATATGAATGCTCCTGTTCTTATCTACGTGGATGGATTTATGCAAAATGAAGGCTCATTTATCATGTATAAATGGACTGTTTCCTAATACTTGCCTAGAGTTTAGACCTCTTTCCTAGGGGCAAAGACCATATATCCTAATGGGTTCAAGATGTCTCACCACTAGAGAGCCCAATGACACTGCAAAATCAACATGCCCACAATGCTAGCTTTTTCCATCTCTACAACCATACTGGTAGAAGTACTCTAGTTACTGTGAATTAATTAAGTATTGCCTTTCTTCTAGGAACCACACTCCTTCATACCTTTGCAAAAACTCTTCCATTGGCCTGTACCAGACCGTTCCCTACTTCCTAGCTAACTCTTAATCTTTGAAAATAATTCAACGCTCAGTTTTCCTGGAGACCCTATTCTGACTACCTACTCCTTATCTGAGTGTGATGGCTCCTTCTCAGGGTCCCCTAACACTGTGTACCACATGGTAATTGTCTATCCACTTCTGCTTAAGGGCAGGAGCTCTGTCTTTCATATCTGTGATTTCACAAATTTGTGGTTTCTCAATGTTCATTGAAAGAATAACTGATCACTCTTCTTGTGTTTAAGGGAAACTTGTTTAATAGCATACATAAAACAAGTGTTTGTTAAAATATTGTTTAATTGATGAGAAAATTAAGTAACATTACTCTAAAAATATTTTTTACTCAAAATAGCTTACAACATAAAGACTTTATCAATCAATTTTTTCTTATCTATATATATACATTGTTTCCAATTCTAAACTGAAAGGAAAGGCTTGATCTCATGACCATGAGATCCTGGCCTGAGTGGAAATCAAGAGTCGGATGCTCAACCCAGTAAGTCACCCAGGCACCCCCTGCCTTTTTTTTTTTCTCTTTTCTTTTTTCTTTTAAACACTAACCTTTCACTTAGTTTTCCCTTGGTGGCTTCAGAAATTCACATAAAGTTTTTTTTAATTTTTTTTAATGTTTATTTATTTTTGAGAGAGAGACAGAATTCGAGTGGGTTGGGGGCAGAGAGAGAGGGAGACACAGAATCCAAAGCAGGCTCCAGCCTCTGAGCTGTCAGCACAGAGCCCGATGCAGGGATCAAACTCACTAGATGGGAGATCACGACCTGAGCTGAAGTCGGACACTCAACCAACTGAGCCACCCAGGTGCCCCTCACATAAAGTTTTATTTTTTCAACGTTTTTTTTTTTTTAATTTTTTTAATTTTTTATTTTTGGGACAGAGAGAGACAGAGCATGAACAGGGGAGGGGCAGAGAGAGAGGGAGACACAGAATCGGAAACAGGCTCCAGGCTCCGAGCCATCAGCCCAGAGCCTGACGCGGGGCTCAAACTCATGGAGCGCAAGATCGCGACCTGGCTGAAGTCGGACGCTTAACCGACTGCGCCACCCAGGCGCCCCCCTCACATAAAGTTTTAAACAAAGATCTATATAATAATGTCCATGACCAATGCATTTAAAGGATAAGAAAATACTTAAAAAAAAAAAATCAAGAAACTGTAAAATTGAGATATTTCATATACCCTTTGGGAAAATAAGAAAAAATATATATAAGAAACAAACATTTACTCTTGCCTGTTTTTTATCTATGGAGTCGAATCCAGCAATTTTGTTTCCCTTTGTGTCAATCAAGGAACCCATAGGTTCACAAGTAATGACATCACATGTCTGTTTTGGCAAAGGTAGCAACTGTCGAACTTTGTCAATACTTTCTGATCTCTTGTCTCCTAGCTCTTTCTAAAAAACAAACAAAAAAAAACAAAAAGAGACAAGTGGGACAGAAATTACAATGAAGGCAAAAGTTAGCAAGAAGGAAGTTTCTCTCTGAAACATTTCCTTTTTTATGACAAGTCTGTTCTTTAACCTTGAACATGGTCGATTATGCAGCTTTCAATTAGAGTAGTGAGTATGTTTCATTTCTTCTATTTAAGTAGAAAATAGAACACACATAATGGAACCCTGGTTACACAACAAACATCACAGTGCTGAAGTGACAAAAATCCAGGGTAGTATTTGCCATCAGAAGGCAGAAGCAGCAGCACAGAACACATGCTCCAATCCAGGGTCAGACCTCAAGATACTCACTGGTTATTTTACTGGTAAGGTCGGCAGATATATTGATCTTTCTCTGCACCATTTGTTTACAGTTTATTTCAAAAATTGTGTTAGTGGTTAGTCAAATGAATTGGGTTTAGAAATATCAGTGCAAATGGTTATTTTTCAATTAGAGGCACCAGTCCAAGCATGGATTTATCTTAAATCCAACGGCGGCATTTTTCTTAAGTATTTGACTTACATTTCTAAAGTTCCTTAAAAAGTTAAACATTTTGTGAATATAATTTAAGAAATACCTTCAAGCTATATGCTTTTGAGTACCAGCAAGCTGAGGTGAGACAAATAGCAAAATAATCACATAATTTTAACTGAATGCAATAAATAACATCTAATTTAACACATAATAAATTAAGATAAAATGCAGTAAATAACAAATGCATAAACTCTTTGAGATCATGATATATAAGCAGGTCATAAGCTTACCTTCAGTTTCTTTACTAAATTCATGTATGCACGTTTGTTCTCTTCAGATCCCCCGGGGGATGCATTTGATAGGTCTGAGGCTAATGTTCCATTGATTAACACACCCAGCATGTCAAGAACTGTTGTGAATAATTCACTAAGAGTGGGAAGAAATAATTATTTTCACTATAAAGTAAAAGCCAAATACTCTTTTTTTTTTTTTTTTTTTTGTAAAAGCCAAATACTCTTAACGAAGGAGCATTTTTATTTAAGGCACAGAGCTTTTGATGGTACCTAGAGAATAAGATGTGGCACAATTTGTAGTCACTATTGCAAAGCTTCTACCATGCACGTGTACAGAATAGTAAATTTGAAATAAGAACATACTTGTTAGTGTGCATGTCAACAGTTCCAGAAGTTATGATCTGAAGCAGGAGGAGGGCCCAGTCTGTTGTCCACTGGGTGCTCCTCTGCACCGTGTCAAACATTCCTCCTACCTAGCACAAAAAAATACAACAAAACTTTATTACAAATGCCATCCCCATCACTTTATGCAGCCAATTTTGATTTGTTTTTTTTAAAAAACAAACACACTCTGCTTTATGGATTAACATGTCTTCTCTCTTACCTAGCTACCTATTTCTCACTCTTTCTGATTCTTTCAGCATAGGAATTTGGTCATTGAAAAAAAGGGGAGGGAAGAGGAGAGGAGGACCGTGAGTGTGGGCAGGAGGCCAATAAGAATCAAATAATAGGGAAATTACTTTTCTTTTAATCCTAACCTTTTGTGATACCTGGTTTTATGACATAAAATTAGTTAAATCTGAATAGGTCAAAATCAGGTAAGTTGATTATCTACACTTGATGCTGTTAAATTACTATTGGATCTAAGTCTGTTGTCATAACAACACTTGCAAATATCCAGTAACACAGAAGAACTGACAAGCAGGGGCTCGGCTCGGCCCCCAGGTCTACGCATTCATGTGTGGAAATTAAGTTTAAAAACTGCCAAAAATCAGGCAATCCTTCCTCCAGAGTAGCCTTCATTCAGGCTTGTCCAGTGGGAAAAGAGAAATTCAAAGAAATGTGCAATGTGTCTGTAAATGTCTATAAAACCTCCCTGTTGAATTTGTTTTTATGATCAATGTGATGGAAAGTTTGCCAAAAATTCAACTTAAGGCACATTTTTACATGATCTTCAAATGAGTGTAATAAAAGCTAATTCCTCTCAATTTAGTAGCCTTCTCAGACCTCCTCAGAGCACCAACTGACAAGAAGGAGCAATTCCCGGGGCGCAGGAGGTTGCAGAAAGCAAACCAATGCCCAAAATGCCTATTGCTCTCTAGAAGCCAGCCCATACAGGAAGGTCAGCAGCCAGGAAAACAGTGCGCATGAAAGGCAGGGAAGTTATGGCAGAGAGAGAGCCAATAGTGGAAGGCCTCACCTTGTGAGAAGACCATGACCACAGAAGAAGTGGAAAGCTAGAGTTATTTTCACATTTAGTTAAGTGGAACAGAGAGAAAATACTAGAAAAATGCCCCTTACCAAATTTAGGCGAAGTTGCAATGCTTCATGCATCATCTGCCGTGCTTTTATGTCATCCTGGTATCGTTCTTCTCTCCAATTACTTAAAATCTAAGTCAGTAAATTAACAAAAAAAAACAAAACTTATTTTCCCTATTAAAATTGATTTTTTTTCTCATATTGAAAGTTACATTGTGCTTCTTACTGTCAAAAATAACTTCTGAGTTTAAAAAATTAATTAAAAAAGCTAAGTAAAATTTTAACTTTCCTTCCCTTCTTCCACACAGACAGAAATGGAGCTATTTCTTGTTCAATGCCTTTCTAGATGGAAGAAGAAAACTCTTATCAATTTACAATTCTGTTAGGAAGTCTTAGAAAAAGCTTTAAAGGATTATGAAGTTAAAGACTAACAAAAATAAAGATACTTAAAATGCTATTTCATTGATTTTGTAAAGTACTGGATAGACAAAATTACACTTTATATCAGTCCTGTGTTCTATTTCTAGGGACGTGCTATGACATTTAACAAGGGTCCTATTTTCATGTTATATTGAAGGGGGGGCTTGCTATCTTACAGACTTGTCTATACAGTGTATCTTCCTTGATAAAGGCAGTGTATAGTATTTTGAAAAATATGACATCTTTGATGTCAGTCCAGTGATGTACTGCTTTTCACTAAGACTACTGTTAAAAGGGGAAGGACTGCTTAGGAAAGGGAAGCCACAAGTGGCAACACCCTAGAATCAGATGGCAAGAGCAAAGCCCTTTCTCCGACTGGGATGCTCTGAAATACATTAACTACAGAGAATCATCTTAAGAGTTTAAATGAGTCACGTGCAGAAGTAACCCTGCCCAACACATATAAGGACACGGCATGGTGAGGGGACAACATTCCTCGAATCTCATCACAATGGAGTCCTCTCCCAAACCTGACCTGACGGTGCAAGGCAGGGACACAAAGCTGTATGACAGCATACATTCTGGGAACAGGACAAATAAAATTAAGTCAAATGTAACAAGCTGTATGAACCAGGGCAAGGGGATACAAAATGACTGTGGTCCTTTTTTTGGCGAGTGATCAGGGACAGCCTCCATGAGGAGGGGACACCTGAGGAAGCAAGGGAGCTGACCCTGATAACACCTGGGAGGAAAGCCTTCCACGCAAGGCGAAGAAAAGATGCAAAGGCGCTGCAAGGATAATCTGCCTGGCAAGTTGCAATGACAGTAATGGGGTCAGTGTAAACAGTGGAGGCATGACTGGTAGGAAACAAGGCAGAAGTGGGAGCCAGGGCCAAATCACCATAGGCCCTTATAATCCCAGACCGAATATTTATCCTAGGTACAGTAAGAAACATTGGAGCATCTTGGGCACCAGACTAATACATGATTTACATTTTAGAAGGATCACTCCGCTGCTGTACAAAGGACAGATCTCTCATCTCCAAAGGGGAGAAAATGATGATAGGACCAAATGAGTTAAGTGTCCTTATTCATGCTCATCTACTATCATTCGAGAGAAAGACATGATGTCCTAGAGACACAGGGCCACAGGAAGTCTCCATTTGGCTTTGTAGCAGGATAAAACATCCCACATGACCAGTCTATCTACTTTGTTCAATTCCACCCATTACGATTTCTAGTGTGATCACCTGGTTTCTTTGAAGGACACAAAATGCAAGTGGCCCAAAGAGTGACCAGAAGCACTGTGGTTGGTAGAAAGCCAAAAGTCAAATTTTTCATAAAAAGAATCATCATGCCTTATTTATAAATGAGCTTCTTTACATTTAACTGGCATTGGCCTGGCTCTGGCAAGAAAACAAAATTGAGTTTCTGAACCGACAGAACTCAAGCCAAGAGTCTCCAGGGAGGCAGGGGCCCAGCTAGAGAACCTGGATAGAGGTTCCTCTGGGTTACGGCCATGCCTGCAACACACACTGCCCCAGGACCTCTCCCACAGGGCGGGGGCAGGAGAAAAGCAGGTATGTCAGAGTTGTATGCAATGCACTAAATATTGTCTTTATAGTACACATTCATCCAAGGCATAATTAATATTATAAAGTTGTTAATTTTACAGTAACTAGAATGCCAAACAGCAGAATAGGGTGTGGATTGTGATGCCTTGCCTCTAATCAAAACACGTTGTATTCTTATTAGTTTAATCTCAGTATTTCAAAGAAAAACAAATTAATGCCATTAGACAAGTACTTGACTGGCTTAATAATTCCAGTATACTTTACCTGATTAACCTGATTCTGAAGAGATGTTAGGAGGCCTTCCCGTTGTTCATCTTGTCCCTTAAGGCAGGTAAGGACCAGTGAGAGGAAAGGTTGTTGACTCAAAAGAGACATACTACAAAGGAAGTAGTAAGAACAGATCTAGTTAGAAAGAATGGATTACCTCCTGTGCAACATCTATCTCTTGCCCTTGAATTACTGGCTCTTATTTACTTTATTATAAGAAAAGGGAAGAGAGTAGGAAATAGCCAAACCCTACTCGAAAAGTTAAATCATATCTCTACTAATAAGATCAAAAGCCACTGTGATGCATCTAAACAATTTAACATGCTCTAGCCCTGGAAGGCATTCCCAAACTAGCATAAATTCACACTGCAGGAGCATGTTGGGAGAGTGCAGGCAGAAGAGAGTTTGTATTTTACAATAGTTGGCTGAATTAAAAGGCAAATATCTGCATGAGTATCACTTTACATACAGCATATGAGGAAAAATTAAACATTTCTGTCAAACAAAACTGTTATCTCAGGGTCAAGGAAACAGGCCTCTGTGATTGCTGAGCTTGTTTTATTTTTCAGCACATTTTTTTTTTTCTTAATGTTTGTGTATTTTTGAGAGAGAACGAGACAGACTGTGAGCAGGGGAGGAGCAGAAGTTGAAGGAGACACAGAGTCCAGAGAAGGCTCCAGGCTCCAAGCCGTCAGCACAGAGCCTGATGCGGGGCTCCGACTCACGAACTGTGAGATAATGACCCGGGCCGAAGTCAGACTCTTAACCAACTGAGGCACCGAGGCACCCTCAGCACATTTCTGACCAAACAGGGTGGG